GGACTTATGGACTTGGGCTTGTAATTGATATGTCCAATTGTCCAATCCATCGACTCCATCCGGACCATCCCTAACTCTTCTACTCTTCTTCKAGAATCRAGACTTCRTCTAAATCGTCTCGTCCAGACTGTTCTTCGAGACTTCATCGTCTACTCTTCTTCGAGACTTCGTCCCTCAGTCCTCACACTCCACGATTCTACAGGCTATAGCCGGTCTCTCTCTTCTACACCGTCGACCCTCGTGACCTCCACACTCCACAGTCACAGACCCTCACGGCTCACGCCTGTCTGTCACCGTCACCAGCGTCCAGCGGCCGGCACTCGACACCGTCACCGGAGTCCAGACATCCCTCGTCTCATCTATCATCTTGCTCTTCTCCGTCTCTGCCATCGAGGATTCGAGGTGAGGGCCTTAAACCCGATTGCTTATTTGTCTCATTGTCTGGATACATGATATTTAGGGCCTAATTAGGACCTCTGCACGTTTTTAAATGGAATTAGATATATTTAGTTCAATGATGAAGTAAATATCATCAATGTGTGACTTAGTGATAATTAGGTCATCTATCATCTTGCTCTTCATCAATCAGGTCAGTAGGTTTAGGTTTAGGCTTATATAATTAGGTCATAATTTTCTTTCCATTCATAACAACTTGTATAACTTTACTTTATTTCTTTATTAAACAGCTACTGTTTGTTGAATTGTTTCCATTCATATGTTTAACAGTTTAAGTTCATATTGTTAAATGTATTACTATTACAGACTTGCAGCCACTGTTTTGTTTCTTTGTATTACAACTGTTGTTTATTGTTAAATTGTTGTTACATGTATGTTGAGATAAGATTGGTGCTTTTATTTAAACTTTTAATTTGAATGTATCTCGTTGTCATTGTGCCTAATTGAGTAATTTCTGATTCTTTTTCTAAGATGGAAAATTCACAAAACAAAAACACAGAAGATATTGGACGTAATACGACTTGTAATGACACAAACGAATCTGTAAGCATGCCTATGGGGTCAAATATTAGTCCTGAGACTGAAGTCAGTGAACCGGCAAACAAAAGATTGAAATCTGTTGTCTGGAACCATTTTGAAGCAATATATATTGACGGTCTTCGTCGATTTGCAAAATGTAAGTATTGCAATAAACAAATGATCGGTAGACCTAATGATGGGACAACACATTTCAAAGATCACTTCAAGATATGTCCGAGGAGAGTTACAAAATACATAAGACAACATATTCTAGTTCAAGAGCAGACTCTTAAGGATGGAAAAATATCTACATTGAGTAATTATAACTTTAGTGCTGAAAGCTCAAGGGATGATTTAGCTAAGATGATCATTCTTCATGATTATCCACTTTCTATTGTGGAGCATCATGGCTTTCGGAAGTATTCAAATGGTCTTCAACCTTTATTTAAGGTGCCTTGTAGAGCTACAATCAAGTCTGACATCATGAAGATATACGAAACAAAAAGAGGTGGTGTATTGCGATGTTTGGAAGAAAATGAAAGTAGGATTGCTCTTACTTCGGATATATGGACAGCCGGTAACCAAAACAAAGGTTACATGGCACTAACAGCACATTACATAGATGCCAATTGGAAGTTACAAAATCGGATTATCAGGTTATTTCTTTTTTTAGTATTTTGTGCTATTTTTATAATTCAATGTTAATATTCTCATTTTAATATATTCTTTGAATCTTTGATGCAGATTTTTACATGTGCCATCTCCACACACTGCTGATGCATTGTCTCACGTTATGATCGAGTGCTTTATGGATTGGAACATTGATAACAAGTTGTCAACATTGACACTTGACAATTGTTCAACAAATGATGCTTTGGTTGACAGGCTCTTAGGTACTCTTTCTCCTTCCTCCTTAATT